TTGTTTCCTATGTTGGGATTCCATCATGTTCCTCAGCTCCTCTATCTATTTTATTTTATCTGTGTCCTCTCTAGATGCATTAATCATGTCTTGCATTATGGCACAATTTCTGCTGTTGTCTGAGAAATTGTTTCTGATTACATTTTTTCCAGACCCTCTTTTGTTGCCAGTTCAGGGAGTCCAGGTGTTTGAGTATCAGATTGCTCCATCTCGTTTCTCTTTGGGGTTGCTTTAGGTGATCTGGAAATCTGGTTTTGAGACTTATTTACGTGTCTTCTCATTTCAATGTGAGGGGGGTGCAGAGTGTAGTGCTGTCGCCTGTGAGGCTACCTCCTCAGCACTGGGGGTGGTTGTATGGTGGCCTCCCTGACTATACACTTGAAAAAGAAAGGAAAAGATTGACCCCCATCAGAAACATAGAAGGCAGATGGTAGGGAGGCAACATCAGATGAAAGGAAGCCAGATATGATACTGGTGCTATGGTAAAGCTAAATGGTACCTTCATAAGGATAGGGTGAGGAGAGGTGGAAGAGAGATCAGAAAGAGATGTTAAGAATCCCATGGACCTCATAAAGCATTGATTCTAGGATGTGGGGAAGATGACCTTGCAAATACAGCTCATGCACCTGGGATGTGGATGGGGGGGGGCAGTGTCCCCTGGAAGGGACGTGAAGGCAATAAAGGGGGTTGTTGACCCTGGTTGAGAGGCCAGGTGGGCACCCGCAGGTCAGGGGCTCCACAGGGTGCTTCTGGGGAAAGCAGACAGTTAGTCCCCAGCACTGTGGGACAGCTGGTGAGGGAGACTTTGCATGGAAGACCATGGGTGAAACAGAAGTGGAGAGTCAAGAACTAGGCCTGTGGAGGCCTGGGAGCTCATTACATGGAGGGAGCACTTGCCTAAAAATGAAGGAGCTGGAAAGTGTGCAGAATCATGGACTTCAAGGATCAAAACTGTTTTGGCAGAGAGGAGAGCAGACATGAAAGCTATGTACAGTGTCCATGGGAAAATGGAGACCATGATGACCTTAGGCAGTGCCGTGGCTTACCCTGTAGGGAGCAAGGACATGGGGTAGATACTGATGCTGTATTGCTGAGAACATTATACAACAAAGGGAACAAAAGCCTCTTAGATGTTGTTAGAAAGGGCCCAGCTCTAAGGAGATAATTATACAAGAGAGAAAAGAAATGATCAATAAAGGTCCCTGAGAACAGAGTTGTATTTAGACAGCATAATACAATTCAGCATTGAAAATGTCACAAATATCAGATATATTTATTCAATGGTGAAATGGACTTGCTAATCTAATTTTATAATACAAATTTTTACCTGCTTCATCAAACATTTTTTCTGCATTTGAGACATATGTATCCTTACCTTGGAATGCAATGAATTACATTAACATTTTCTCAGTTTCAACACATTCTGCATTTCCAAGATAAATGGTATTGGATTATAAGACATCATTTCCACTATTTAATTCCACTTGCCAATACTTCTGTATCCATGTTTATCATGAAGTTGCTCAATATTTGTCTTTTTTTCTATTCTTGCAAAAATTTGTGTGCCAAAGTTATTTTGGTGTCATAATGAGATGGACAGAATTTCATTGTTTTCTGAAATAGTTTGCATAATATGCACCTTCACTGGGACTCCTTTTTAAAGTCTGGGTATTCTGCGTTACCATGCCATACTGATAAAAGGAGGAGGTATGAACAAAATACCATGAAGATTTATATTTTTTAAAAATTACAGAAAGAGACATATTGTCATTCATCCCCCCTCAAAATATTCTTCTTCACTTTGAAGACATTTTTGCCATCATTCCTGCCACTTTCTAAAGCAGGTCCGTAAGTCCCCTTTCACTGGGTGTGATCAAAAATACTGAATGTTGAATGCTGCTGCCAAGCGCCATCTAATGGAAGGGCAGACATAAAAACATCCAGAGTGGGTGGGTCCTCATCTACCTTACTCACCAGATCTGGCAAGGTGCGACTTTTCCCCACAGTCAAAATGACCAGGAAAATTCAATGTTTCAAATCTATTCAGGACCTCAAGACAACCATGGTAGTACCACCAAAGATACTCATGAAAGAGGGCTTCCGGAGCTGCTTCAGAAGTGGCATGAGCAGTGGGAAAATGTTTGACATCAGGGGAGTATTTTAAGGGGGATTCATGGCAATGTGTATTTTACTGTTTTTTTTTTAAATTTAAGCATTTACCATATTCTGAGATCCCTCCCATGATTCTAATACATTTCAATTTGTGCTAAGGCCAACAAAGTTTTCATGTAATTGTGTTTGGGCAGAACAAGCTCCAAAATGACACTGATTCCAAGTGGGATTAGGAAAGAACCAAGACCCTCACCATCAGCGTCACAAGGGGCCTGGGGCCAGGTGCACACACTTCAGGACCAGATGCTATTGCACAGTACAAAGCCTTGTCCACAGGATGACAAATGTGGTGACCATAAGGTCACCTTCTATTGGGAAGATGGATGTGCTCATAAAATAGGTGTATTAAGTTAGTGAATTTGTTAGGCTTAAGATGGACATTTGATTCAGTGGACCCTATTTTTCTTAAAACACTTTAATGTAAAGAAAATCATGCCTAGGAAGGTGAAGCACATCTTTTGTGATGAAAAACAACAGCCAATAATTAAAAGCACTCCTGACTTCTTGTAACCTCTTGCAGCCCTGTCCAGCAGGAGACCTTTGTCCTTGAAAGCTCTCCACAGGAATTCTCACTGTGCAAATGGCAATGCTATTTATTTAGACAAAGTGGAAAGTATCCAAAGCATTTTTTCTCATCTATGTCATTAAATATGACCATAATATTTGTAAATATAAATGGTATCTGCTCTATAGATCCTAGCATACAATATTAATCCTGGAGATAGTAATATTCTTCCAACCTGGATTTCTTTAAAGATAATCACATAATTTGACATTACTTAATTTCCTCAACCTGATCAAATTAAATTCATTCTGTTGTTGAGTAGTTCCTTTAAAAACAGCTCGCCAAACAAAAGTACTCCAGGTATTTCTTGTCCTGAGCAAAAAAATGGATGAAACAAGCCAAAAACTGCCAGAAGTTTGTTTGAAAATGAGGAGTGAGGAAAGGGGACTAGCTCTGCAGAGCAAACTTGGGCCAAATAAGAGAAAAGGATACAAAGTAAAAATAAAAGTGCACCCTGCATCTAGACTCAGGGTGGGTGACTGTGAGGGATCCACAGGCCCCTCAGGGTGGCTCCTCTCTTATTTATGCCTCCCACTTCTCTTGGGAACCCAGAAGTTTCACATATGGGGCCCTGAGAATCATCTGGCTCCACCCTGAGATTCTGAAATTGACAGGCCCTGCCCACTTACCCAGCCAGCTTTGCCCGCCCTGCCTCCTTATCAATTCTGTTCCCATCCACAATGGCCACAAAACTTTGTGTGTCCCTGTAGTAGAGAATGCTAACCTTCATTTCATTTTAGGGTGACCAGAAGTTGGCTAAAAACTACAGCGCTTTCATACCCTTAGTCTAATCTCTCTCTCTCTCTCTCTCTCTCTCTCTCTCTCTCTCTCTCTCTCATTACTCTAGCAACCACTGTGGAATGTAAAGAAAGTTCTAAAGTCACAAGATCTGAGATGTCTGTGAACCCCTGTATCAGTTTCCTCCAAAGTAACAGGCAAACATCCATTGCTCATCAAATAACTGTTGAGTTGCTCTGTTACTCTCTTAGCCTCAAATGCAGTCTTTCCCAGTCTCCATCTGTAAAGGTCCAGCCAGGTGGAAACCATCACACAAGGCTGTCCCCACACCCTCGATTATAGCAGCTGGCTCTGTGGCCTCAAAGCAGAGGGCTTTGTTGCTTGTAATCTCCTCTTGTCATCCCGACCTGCTGTTAGCTCCTAAAGGAAAAAGATGTTGGCTCTTGTATTTATTATTCCGCCACCATCGTGATTATTATGGTTCCCACCACCTACTTCTGTCTACAAAATGGGCTCCCTCAATATTAAAGAAATGGATATGTGGTTTGGTGTGTGTGTGTGTGTTTCTGTGTATTATGAAAGGACTTTGAATTATTCAAGTGTGTGAAACTAAGTCTGCTATTCCACAGATAAAAGTCCTCTGACTTGAGCTAATGCAACAAAGTAAAAGAAAAGCCAGAGGAGAAACATGTCCAATCAGTTTGAATATTTAAAATGACTCCACACCCACTTGAGTAGGAGTGATGAAACCAGTATAAATACTAATCATGTGCGGGTAGGAGAGTGCAGTGTGTGCATTATGTGAGATATTTTGGAGTAGTCCTGTTGAGCTATTTTTCAATTTAGTATCCATTAAACAAATTTAACTATAATCTTAAGCCACTTTGTCTTTACTCTTCTAAAAATATAGTCCTTGTTTGGTTTTTATAATCTTGATTTTTGCATTAAGGCTTTAGTTCATCATTTGTTTGAATCTCTGTGTAAAGATAAACTATATAATAAATGCTAGATTATTGGAACTGGAATGATCCCTGTTACCTCTACCTTATAAAATACTCAAAAATCATCTCAAAAGAAAGTTCAAGAGTCTTTAAGTGTGGTTTGTTAAATGTGACCTTCAGCCCAAAGGTCTTAAGACAAATGTTTAACTTCAAAGACATAAAATATCTGCATGACTTATAGATGCAGTGACATTTTCAACATTAGCATAGGACTTGACCTTTGTGTCCAGTCTTGTGGGACTGACGGCTCTACACACTGGGTTCCTTTCTCCCCCTGTGTGTTGTTCAAAGGCACTCCTTGAAGCACAAACTTCAAGAACACAGCAGTTCAAAGACCAAAAAGGAACCCCTAAGAGCAGAACACAGCAAAGCAAAACTCAATTAAATTTTAACCTTTCCGACTTTAAAAGACCTTGAGTAGTTCCGTTTCTTTCTTACCTAAATTAAATTGGATCCCTAAAGACACAAATAAAGATGCAGAGAAATATATTGACAAAAACAACAATTACATTCCAAGAACCACGTTTTCTTACAGCACATCTCATTTATTCACTGAAGTATAAATATATTCAGAGTTCACAAATTGGTATGTATTGATTCAACAACAAAAAGATTACATCTTCCATTTTGAGACTGAGACTATGTTAGAATTGTAGAAAAAAATCATACAACCTAAAATGTAACTCATTAAGAATGCATAATTTCTGTGATCCCTGAGACTCAGAATAGCTCATGTAAAATCTACCCATGATTGACTTAATTCCTACCATTAAAATATATCTCTGAGATAATGATATTCAGGAAAAGACAAGTTTAATGAAATCTGGTTTCAGTAAAGAAATGTCACAACGAAGTGTTTTCCTTCCATCACGACTTCCTAGTCCTCAATGCCCAAGTCGGGCAAGGCCAAATTTAAGGATGAAATCAATGTGGTCATCTACCAAGGCTGTAGCAAAACACTGTCAGTTGGATGCTCAGAAATGTGTGACAAGAAATTATTTTCAGTGGTGGATACGCTGACCTTATACATTTTATAAAGTATAAGATGCAAAATATCAGGTTAACATAACTTTTGAGAGCCACATCTTTAAGGACAACAATTCTGAGAATGACATAATTTTTAGAAAAACTTAAAAACTTAGAAAGGTAATGTGTAGTTATTGCCTACTCTGCTGACTTTGCTTGTATAGTTAGAAGGTAACGTGGTGTTTTCTTGGTTCTCAGATTGGAACACATCTGTTTCAATCCAGACTGCTGGGCTGCAGCTCCAGCCTTTGAAAGTCTCCAGCTCTGGGAATCTGCATTTCTACTAGCTTCTAGGAGATCCCACTGCAGCCAGTATGAGAACCATCAGGCTTTGTGAAATCACAGAGCTTGGAATATCAAAAAAGTAATTATTCATCCAAATTAAGAAACAAATCCACATTCTGTTTCTTTCTATAATCCCACAAAATTATAGTCTGTGAGATTCTGGTAAGACTATTAAAAAGACACATAAAAATCTAGTGTGCTAATTGGTTGACTGAAAATGCCCTTTAATTCTTAATTTTAAAAAGCATTTTTGTATGAAAAAATTGGCAATTTTCCCATGTCATACCGCACAGTGTCACCCAGTTTCAGGAAAAGTTTGCATTTAAATTATTGAGTTTTTATTTTTTACTTTAAAACATGTGAGCCTATCTAGTGGAAAGATGGCAAAAATAGAAAACAGCCCTTGATGCCATTTCCAACACAAGCACGTTGGGAAAGTTTGTGAACAGTGTCAGGGGGAGGGGCCTGGCTTCCTTCCCCAGCAAGGTGAAGCAGGGCCTGTGTCCCCATCCAGAGCAGCTCAGTGTGGACTCGGTCTACTCATTCATGCCTCCACACCAAGGAAGTTGGTACCCACCCAGCTAGGCAACAGGGTAAACTCTGCTGGGATGAGGGGCTCCCCAAAAACCTACAGAAAAGAATCCCCTTTTGGTTTGCCGGTGATTAATAAAGAGTTTCAAAGAGGACAACGAAGGAAAGAAGAAAACTTGACTCCCTGGAACACACCCTCAGGCTCCTCAGCTGCGCTTGTTGCTTGAAGTTTGGACATCAATGGTGAGGAAACACCAGGCTGTATTCCTTCCCTAGTTAGACAGGCAGGTGACAAGGGCAGTGAACCTCAGTGGGCAGATCCAGAGGAGAAGGTGGAGTTTGCTCCTGTTCCGTACCAAAATTAACAAATACCTGAAAGAATTGAAGAAGATAGATGGAACTTATAAGAACACTCAACTTTTTGGTTGCAACTATCAGAAGGGGAGAGATTATCTATGAACACTCTCCTGGAAGGCAAAAATCATCCATTCACCACCACCCTTAGTCATCATAAACCATGAGGACACCAACGTGGAATCTGCTGCAGCACTCCGGGGACAATACTATACCTCTTCCAGAGTGGTCTGGTTAATGGAATAATGCTCGATATTCAAGAAGTTCTTATTGTTCTCTAGAACTTTGAACAAGTCAGCTAGGCAGCCCCATCTTTTGGGCACATAATACTCCAACAAATTAAGGCGCTGTCCCTAGAAACAAAAACAAAAAGGCAAGAGAAATATCACACAGTTAGAAATCACTGAGCAAGACTGATCATACCACTTTTATGTTCTGCATAAATTCAGACACTTCTTCAAACCACACACCTAAGTCCCAATGAGATGTGCGGGTCAGTTCTGAGAGTTCACAACGGATCCTTGCTGATGACGATGAACCAGGAGGCATTTTTAATACATGGCACTTACCTGGAGGAAACTGCTCCTCTGCCCCCACACTGCTGTGATGACAGGGAGGACCTTTTGGAAGGGTCAGAAATTGCCGACAGAAGTTCCAAAAGTAGCAATTGTGACATCCAGAGGTGTCTGGCATTGCCCTGAACTGCACACTGGGACATGGACTCAGTTCTCAGCTGCCTTCACCGTTAGCTGAGCGACTGTTGGTCAGAGTGTTCTGATTCTCAATTTCAAGGAAGCCAGAGGCCACCGTGACTTCTGCTTTACAGGGTCCTTTAGAGAGGGGCAGGGGCTGAGCGACAGAGTCCTGCACAACGCGCTCCTCCTATGACACCAAGTAGTTGTTCGAATCAACATGGAAAAATGACTTTACAGACCACTGCCCGTTAGGAGTTACAAGAGATCAGGATCACAGAGTGATGCAGAAGAATGATGGACAGTGTTTCTCAAAGTGTAACGTGCATGGGAATCATGGGGTCACTTTGTGAAAATGCACAGTTGATGTCAGTACTTCAGGACCTGAGATTCTGCAGGTCTAACCAGACTCCAGATGTGGAAGATGCCGGTCCAGCTCACACTTGACAGCATCGTTTTGAGCAAGAGCAGGATCCCAAGCACAGGGCTCTTCCTGGGAAACAATGCTCAGACTTCCAAGTCCATAGACCGAGTGCGAAAGGATGGAAGAAATTAACTTTGGTAATCTTCCAACCTGGCTGAAGGAGCTCTGCACACTGGTAAGAGGGGTAAATTCATCATCATGGCCTGCTCTGGGCAGCCGAACAAGTGGCCAAGCAGGCTTGCCATACTGTCTCGTGATCAAGGAACATTAGCTGCCCGTGCTACTTTGGGTACATAGGGAGAGACAGCCAGTTCTTCATAAAGAGGCCAGAAGGCCACTAGTATCTTATGACAAAATAGAATAAAACGGTAAAAGAATAGCCAGATGTGGTGTCCCAAGTCTGTAATTCCAGTATGCTGGGAAGCAGGGAGTGGAGGATTGCAAGTTCAAGCCCAGCCTGGGTAATTTAGCAATTTAGTGAGGCCCTGACTTAAAAAAAAAATAAAAGAGGCTGGGGATATAGTTCAGTGTGAAGGCCCTGGGTTCAATACCCAGGGCCACAAAAAGTAAAATAAATAAATGAATATAATAAAACAAGGTAAGTACACTTACAAGATGTTTTCAGCTCAAAGGAAAAGCAGAATATTAACATTACCTTAAACTGGACCCCTGGAAAGTTGAGTTTCAAGCAGTCAGAAATAGTGCTAGGTTGATTTTCTTCCTTATAGAGCCAAACTTTGAGTATAAAACCATCACCAAACCTGAGGATCAAGTCAAATAAAAATATGGCCATCATTATTCATTATATATTATATATTGTACTGTCCTAGGATGGGCAAATTCTAAGTCCATTTTCATGCACAGGCAGAAAAAGGCAGTAACGTCTCCAAATTGTTGGGGAGATTTTGGATTCTCAAAAGGCTGGGGTGGAGAAGTTAACTGCAAGTCACTGAAACAGTTGCTGTTGCCCAAGTATGTTGTCTGTCACAGACAGGAACCCACACCTTGTGGATAAAAGAGGAACAGTGAAAATGCACACCGAGAAAGAAGCAGAGTTCTGAGTCAGAGAAAGCCAGAGGGCAGGCTGGAAACCAGCCCTCGGAAGCGATACTACAGTCTCTGCCTGTTATGTGAAAGGCTTCTCCTAACTACACTCAGCCCAGTCTCAGCGGACAGCCCCCAACTGCATGGGAAGCCTCTGACCTGAGAGGCACCATCCCCGACGTGGCAGAGCACAGGACAGGCACTGCATCGGTGCCCATGCAATGGCACCGTGTCATGTTCAGACCCTACTCTCAGCCTGCCAAGCTTCAGGGATCTCTGAGGCCTCCAGGAATGGTATGTGTTCTCCATTGCTTCATCCCAGGGACCCAGGATGATGTTGGGCACACAACAGCCTCTTAACAAAGACCCAATCGATATGAAACAAATACTTCAAAGAACCAGGGTGATCGAAGTCTTTGTCTACTTTGTTCATGGATGGATCTATCCAAGTGCATGCATCGATTTCAAGTATATTACACAGTTCCACACCTAGTACCTAACACTGACGGATATGAACAAATGGGATGCCCAAAGTCTTCCAATAGCCATTTGCATACAATGTATCAAAGTGTAACATCGGGTGTTACGCTGTATTTTCCCTAAGTGGAGCTAACCAAGACATGTTTATGGTTGGATCATTTTTTAAATCTGTGTGGAGAAGACAGAAGTCCCCAGGGAATGTGAGCAGGTTTCAGAGACCCAGATAGCCCTTCCTTGCAAGTGCTCTCTCCCTGGAGCCTGTGGTGCCCCCTTCTGCCTTGACCCCAGGCTGTCAGATGTCATCTCCCTGAGGTCTGTGCCTGGGCCAGCAGGGTCCCAGCCTTGTGAGAGGAACAAGCGACAGGTGACTGAGAAGTTGTTGGGGACACTGATAAACATGCATGAGGGCGCACAGATGCCTCTCCCTAAAGCTCCAGCTTAGCTATCTCTAAGGATGCTAAGGGCAGGAGGAGAGTGTCCAGCGATCGTTCATCTCCTCCGCAGCAGTGTCACTCTCCCCACAGACCATCCCGTCCCACCCTCCCCAGAGCCGCCCCCCCCAGGGCGTCCATGTAACAGAGGACTCGAGCCTGGAGGCTACAGGGGCCTCCGGGTGAAGGGCTCTGCTACTGAAGTGCCGCACACACCCCTCTGAGAGCACGCAGTGGTGCCTGGCATAGCAGTCAGTCCTAGTGGGATGTCCCTGGGTGGAGATGCACCCCTGACCTTGTCACTCTTAGTGATTCTGATGATGAGACCCAATGTAGTGTCGGCGCTGCCGATGATGGATCCCCACAGCCTGGGTTTGAGCCTTTCCCCTCCACCTCTGAGCTGGGTGGTCCTGGGAAGTCAGGGAAAGCTTCTGACCTCGGTGCCTCAAGAAGAAAATGGAGGCGATGTTAGCAGCCACTGACAAGGTCGTCTGGGCACAGAATGAATTAATCCTCGTGAGTCAGTTGGAACAGTTGTTGGCAAGTGTGAAATTTAGGTTCTGTGTGGGATATCACCAAAGTAGAATAACGCTCTACTTGGTGTGAAGAAATGCACAGTTTCTCCAGAAAACTTTGATGAAAGCAAGTGACACAATTAGAGCATAAATCAGAAGCTCTATGCGCTACACAATGGGGTGAGGACATCCTGGGTGGGGAGGAAACCTCCCGTGCCCTCTTGTCATTAGGAGAAGTTGTCGCCCTGACCATATTTTGTTTAGACTTTGAAAGATTCATGCTAAATTCCAATAATTACCTAACAAATTGCCAATAAGTACAAATGCATGTTTATATTTAAAATTCTTTCAAAAGTTGTTTGAACTAAAACACTCCCAGCTTTACAATAATGTGCATTATACAAAAAGAAAACTATTTAGTTCTTAGGAAAAAGCATTTGACAGAAAATATTCCTGAAAGAGGCCTCCAAATTTCTCAGGATCTCTGCAACAGTTCGGAAGACTTCTGGACCTTAAATTATAAAAGGGCATCATATTGTACAAGGAAGAGAATCTTTGTAGATTATTAATCTCATTTATAATGCAAAATTTATATTAGCTTTACTTTTTCACTTCTGCCTATAACCTCCAGATATATGACAATGATGTAAATTCCCTGAAGGGCTTATTTAATTCTCATACTTTTCTGAAGAGTAAAAGATCTCAAAATAGCCAATGAGTCATTTGTTGATGTGTTCACTCACTGACCTAATACTTTAAGAGAATCCATTATGTCCACACCATTTGCATAGTCGGTGATTACAGAAAAACAAACAGCAATATCTGCAAGTGAAGGTGCTTATGAGACATTCTTCTGTGATACATTTTGGCACCACATACACTAAATGTAATATATACAGTGACTGCTAAAATAGAAGCATGAGCCATATACAAATACAGTAGGGCAGGAGGCACAATCACACTGCTGTAACCAGATATTTCAAGAGTGCACTGAAAGAGCTGGAAATACAGCTCCAAGGACATTTCTGAAAAACCAACCATTCAGTTATATTTGGAGCCCATGAAGTTTTAGTTCCCTGGGCTTCAAACTCCACATATAAAAATATTTTACCCCAGAGCCGAAAATCCAAGATATATGGCACATATGTTTATTTCAGCTTCAACCATTAAAAATATCTCACATCGTTCTTTGGTGATCTGTGCATACCCTTGCTTGTAACTGCACAATTCACAATAGCTAAGCCCTGGAAGCTCCCAGATGCCCATCTACAGACAAAGGCACAAAGAACATGTAGGGTATACACAATGGAATATTAGCCATCCATAAGGAAGAATGAAATCATGTCATTTGCAGAGAAATGGATGGAACATGAGACCATAATGTTAAGTGAAAAATAAGTCAGACTCACAAAGTTCAATCTTTCAGTTTCTCATGTATACAACATCTAAAAATAAAATGCAAGAGTAATAAAAAGGAGAGATGATAGGAAACAAAAAAGTGGAGTTTTAGTGATGGAGAAGGGGATGAGGAGAGAGGGAAGAGCGGGAGGGGCTGTGGAATAAGAATGACCGAGATTTGTCATCTGTATTCACCAATTCCCCAAAACCAAGATAACTATTATGTGTTCAAACAGACACTAACAAAAACAAGTCTATGAAGAATATTTTAAGGATGATAACATGCCTATCATATAATACTCAGTGTAAAATACAAAAGAGAAAATTATGGATGCAATATAATGTCAATTATGCAAATATGTAAATGCAAAAAAGACTTGAATGAAATTCTAGAATACTCTGAACAAGAGAGAAAAAACTTTTACTGCTGGCAATTTCTTCACTGTCTTCTGGATTGTAAAGCAGGAGGTGCATGCCACTTTTCTAATGAATGAGGAAAAATATACATGTTTTTAAGAGTAAAGGGGCAGTGAGCAACCTGTATTTAACTACTGTGTCGCAGTTTCTGATGCTAAAATTATTTATTTAATGCATTCCTTCTAAAAATCAAATGCATAAAACTTCTTGGCATAGAAACTAATTTTAGACTTAATGTAATTTGTGAAATGTCTAACAGAGTTATTAGGTGTCTCTATATATACCCACTTATTTCTCACATCTGCTGCATAAGGAATTTCTCTCTCTCTCTCTCTGACGTGCCCTCCTCCTTAAATACCTAAGTATAAAAGACCTTTAAAACTGGTGTTTTCCATCCATCACCAAGCAAGGACATGGAGAAGAGAGGGCCCCAGGTCTCCTGAATTCCCACAAGCCCCCCATGAGGCACACGTGTCATGGCATCTTCCGGGGGAACCAGAACTGAGGCCTCAGCACCAGAACTGATGTCTGCACCTCTGCACTGCACTGTGTTTCAGTGACCGTCCAGTCCTCCATGACTGAGTGGCGTGTTCTGTCTTTGGGATGCATTCAGCGGGGGAGGAGGGTGGCCCCAGGAAGGGGGGCTGAGCGGCAGGCACAAAGCAGGTGTGTAGGAGGACCTGGGATGTGGCTGGCTTCTCTGTCAGAACTTCCTTGTTGTTATGTAGGTCCCCAGGTGACCCTGCTGGGGACAGAATGGAGGACAGAGCTCCTTGCATGCACCATGAGTGGGGCTGAGCACCAGGATCCCAGTGAATCCCCTGGGGTCTCGCATGCCTGTCTCCCCCTCTTGTGCAGAGTGGAATCCCATGGAGGTTGGGCTACATTCAGCTTCCAGCACCGCAGGGAATGCAGGTGGCATCCCACCCAGGCTTACCCATGCTCCAGCTAGTGGCAGCCTCCCATCTAGCAGAGACAGCACAAGGTCCTTGTGTTTCCGGGATCACATCAACACACCGATTTCACTCTGAGCACTAACCTGCTCACACAGATGGCGTTTCCTCTTTATAAATGCAAAACGCTGGCACTCAAAGAGGTCAGGACATTTTTCCACTGTCGCTCAGCCTGTTACCTGACAGAGCTGGGACCCAGCAGGGCACACTGCATCAGCATGTCAGTAATACTTCAAGGATGCTTAAGTTTAGATTGCAAAACTTGCTACTCTAACCCTAAGCCTAACCATCACACTAACAATAACACTAAACATAACACCCAACACTAACCATCACACACACACTCCGATGCTCAGTTACTTGGATTTCAACACTGTCCCTAACACTAAGCCTAACCCTAACACTAACACTAACCATAAAAACTCCAATACTCAGGTACTGGAACTGCAATACTGCCCCTAAACCTAACCCTATCCCTAAGCCTAAGAATAACCATAATACCCACACTTCAATACCTATGTGC